ATATTACACAAGTTATTTTACTGTCTATTTCTTTATTCCTTTATAAGTTCTTAATTGCACAAAAGTGTTCAATATAGTAACTAGTAAAGATAGTAAAGTATGCTGACCGCATACTTTACCCATCGTCTGTGTATCTTACAAGCTGCCGGAAGTACTTGTAACCAAGCGTAAGCCTGGCTGCTACACCATCAGTCAGTCTACATTGGAAACTGCTCCATAAACATACTTATTTACTTTCAGGCTTCTAACAGATTTCCTATAACATTAAGTTTCATTATTTACTTCTCTCCTAATATTATTCCTCAAGTTAGACAAAGATACACCAAAGTTATATTCTACATATTTCAAAAGGGGTTCCTTTTTTAGGGTATCATATCAACTTTATCAGAGGAGTAATCCAATGTGCGATGGAATCCATTATAATTGTACATTAATTCCTGTTTTCCAGATTTTTGAGTATCCGTATTTGTCTTCATTGAGAACATTTTTCCAGTCATTATGTGAGTCAAGGTTTTCAGAGATTACATAGAATTTATAACCATGGAGTCAAGTTCAGTGTCATAATTTTATCGCCATTAGGATGGCAAACAATTCAGTTTGCAATGTAGACACCAAGTTGTTAATTCTTATGTCATGTGGATAGATGTGATCGGAAGGGGGGAGGGGTTGCATTATATGTTCGAGAAAATATTAATTGTTGCATAAAAACAGGTATAAAAATAGATGGAATAGTAACAGAATCTGTTTGGGTAGAGTTTGTTGAAGGTCAAGAAAAACTAATTTTGGGTGTGATATACCGACCTCCAGGCTTAGATCACGATAGAGTGAGACTTCTTTGGGACGAAATTGTTAGGGCTTCTAAACACAATAACGTAGTAATAGTAGGGAATTTTAACTTTAGTCAAATTGACTGGAATTCTTTGACCGTTAATCTGGAGTTCAGTGACTTTATAGAAACAATTCAGGACTGTTTTCTGAAGCAGTGTGTAAGAGAGCCTACCAAGGGTAATAATTTGCTCGACCTAGTCTTGTCAAATAAGGAAGCATTCGTAAATATTCTGGAGATCACTGAAGGGCTTGGCGCAAGTGATCACAAATCCATCACTTTCAGCATTAACTGGGAATACAAGAATAACGATAATACGGTAAAAATCCCTGATTTTAGTTCTGCCGATTTTAGTGGACTTAGGGAACACCTGTCAAATCTCAACTGGCGTTATCTAGCTAATGATTTTATTGACAGTGATTATACTTATGATTACGAAGGGATCTGCGTTTATAATTTTTTTCTTAATAATGTACACCGTGCTCAGAGTACATACATTCCCCAGAGAGAACTTAGGTCTAATAATAACGATCCCAAATGGGTTAACAGGAGGTTAAAGCATCTATTAGGGGAGAACATGGAAATTTATAGGCGCATCAGAAGAGGAGAGGTTAATCTTACTGACCAATATGCTCAGTTTAAAAGAGAAGTAATAAAAGGATTAGGAGGGCTAAACGTGACTATGAAATTAGGGTTGCTAATGAATCAAAGACCAATCCAAAGGGGTTCTTTCAAGTGTATAGGACGAAGGTGAAGGAAAAAGTAGGACCTTTGTAAACTGAGAATGGACAGCTGACGGATAACGAACTGGAAATGAGTTCCTTACTTAATGACTATTTTTTGTCAGTTTTTACACAGGAAGACACAAATGAGATTCCAGAAATTAATTTTTTTTATTTCCTGATGAATTCAAATTAACTAATATTACTGTCATGAGAGATATGGTTATAAAACAGGTAGACAATTTGAAGCAAAATAAGTTCCAGGGACCCGACGAGTTGTTTTCCAGGGTACTTAAGGAATGCAAGATGGAACTTAGTCAGCCATTTACGAGTGTGTTAATGCGTCCATCCTTACTGTGCCAGAGTTGTGGAGGATGGCTAATGTGGTTCCTATATTCAAATCAGGGGATAAGTCCGTTCCTTCAAATTACCGCCCGATAAGCCTGACATCTATAGTGGGCAAGTTATTAGAATCAATTATAGCTGACATTATTAGAAGTCACCTTGAAGAGCATAATTTGATTAATGAATCTCAGCATGGGTTCACAAGAGGTCACTCCTGCCTGACAAAGTTAATGACGTTCTTCAGCAGAGCATTTGAGGCAGTAGACAGTGATAAAGAATATGATATTGTTTATTTAGATTTTAGTAAAGCCTTCGATAGAGTACCTCACAAGAGACTCTTAAGAAAAGTGGCAGCTCATGGTATAGGAGGTAAAGTTCTAGCATGGATGGACAGAGGCATGGCTTACCAATAGAAAGCAGAGTTTCCATTAATGGGGCCAAATCTGAATTGGGATTAGTCACTAGTGGCTTTCCACAAGGGTCAGTTTTGAGCCCTCTCTTGTTAATAATTTACATTAATGACCTTGATGAAGGGATTACGAGTGACATGAGCAAATTTGCTGATGATACAAAGATTCATTCTGAGGAGGATAGCAATGAACTCCAGGAGGATTTGTAAAAATTAATGTCTTGGTCTGAGAAATGGCAGATGAAGTTCAATGTGGATATGTGTAAGGTACTAGTCATTGGTAATGAAAATAATCCTCGAAGCTATAAACTAGGTGAAGTAGAGCTTGATCATACAGAATGTGAAAAAGACTTGGGAGTCAGGGTAAACAGAAATCTAAAGCCAAGACAGCAGTGCCTAAGTGTGTGCAACAGGCTAACAGATTACTTGGAATTATCTCAAGAAGTATAAGTAACAGAAGTTCAAAAGTTATTTTACAGCTCTATACATCACTAGTGAGGCCTCATTTAGATTATGCTGATCAGTTTTGGTCTCCTTACTACAGGATGGATATAGACTCATTAGAGAACATACAGAGAAGAATGACTAAAATGATTTACTGTGTAAGGAATCTCCCGTGTGAAGATAGACTTAAAGCCTTAAATCTCCACTCTCTGGAGAGACGCAGAATGAGGGGAAATATCATCGGGGTGTATAAGTGGATATAAAGAGATATTAATAAAGTACTGAGGGTGTCGAACCAGGTAAGAACCAGAAATAATGGATTTAAGTTGGGTAAATTTAGATTTAGAAAGGACATAGGTTTTCTAAAAGAGTTGTGGATGCGTGGAACAATCTTCCCAGTAGGGTGATCGAGGCTAGGACCTTGGGTAGCTTTAAGAAGAGATTGGACAAATATATGAGTGGGAGGGGCTAGGTTTGATTTGTGTCAGTGGGTACGGGAGTAAATTCTTGGGTAGTTTAGGGTAGAGGTCATTTTGATAAAGACCTGCCTTGTATGGGCCAGTAGGTCTTCTGCAGTGTTCCTCCATTCTTATGTTCTTATGCCTAATTTAATTTACTATGACTATGTTTTCACAATCTACACACCTCTCGACGTTGAATAATATTTACGGTAACAGTGTCTAGTTAATTTGTAGATTTTAATACAGTACAATGCAAAGTTTAATTATTCTATCAGTATTAAAAAGAATGCCAAACTCTTTAATATAATTGAAGAGCAAAATGCGTGTAAGTGCACAAAGTTCTCAAGCATTTCGGTTCCTTTTAAAGTGATCATTTTTTAGATTATATATTATGTATTTTGTGTATTAAATAACATAGATTAAAAATAAAAGGAAATGCTCAAAGGGAGTATAGAAGGAAACCTAAAATTTCTTCCTTAAATCTCATTTCTTTAATTCTTCAAGGCCAACAGAGAGGAAATATTCATGACAAAAGAACTTCAAGATGCTAGAAAGTGTAGAAGGCGAGTCTTTCTCACGTTAAAGATGAAGTCAAGAGAACCGCAGGAGAATACCGGCTAATCTTTAATAATAAGAACCGCAGGAGCACATTAAACTATGTCACATGATGAGCGACGAGTTCACAGTACATTGTCACTCACAGCATGAGGCACAGTGCACAATACATTGCCACTCACAGCATGAGGCACAGTGCACAATATAGTGCCACTCAGCATGAAATACAGTGCACAATACATTGCCACTCACAATAGCATGAAATACAGTGCACAATACATTGCCACTCACAATATGAGGTACAGTGCACAATACGTTGCCACTCACAATATGAGGTACAGTGCACAATACATTGCCACTCACAGCATGAGGTATAGTGCACAATACATTGTCACTCACAATATGAGGTATAGTGCACAATACATTGTCATTCACAATATGAGGTATAGTGCACAATACATTGTCACTCACAATATGAGGTATAGTGCACAATACATTGTCACTCACAACATGAGATATAGTGCACAATACATTGTCACTCACAACATGAGGAATAGTACACAATACATTGTCACTCACAGCATGAGGTATAGTGCACAATACATTGTCACTCACAGCATGAGGTATAGTGCACAATACATTGTCACTCACAATATGAGGTATAGTGCACAATACATTGTCACTCACAACATGAGGAATAGTACACAATACATTGCCACTCACAGCATGAGGTACAGTGCACAATACATTGCCACTCATAGCATGAGATATAGTGCACAATACATTGCCACTCACAGCATGAGGTATAGTGCACAATACATTGCCAGTCACTTAAGGGACAGTGCCGAATAAACTGACACTCACAATATGAGGTACAGTGCATAATAAACTGGTATACTGGTTATCACTAAAAAATTACTTAACATTCGTGATGGACAATAAGAGTGTCTGTTTCATGGGTTACAGAAGTTATCTGGGTAATGGGAGGCAATAGCTATCTGGGTGATGGGTGGTAGTATTTACCTGGATGATAGGTGTCAATCGTTACCTGGGGAATGTGTGGAAGAGTTACCTGGGTGGCGGGTGGCAAGAGTTATCCTGGTGATAGGTGAAGGAGTTACCTTTGTTAAAGAGTTACATGGATGATGGGTGAAAGTTACCTGGGTGATGAGTGGCAAGACTTATTTATCCGGGTGATGGGTGACAATAAATACCTGGGTAATGGATGAAAGAGTTACCTGGGTGATGGGTGACGATGGAGTGTAGGTCATGAGGTCCTCCAGGTTGGGTCTTTCAAGACTTGTGTCGCCCAAGACCCACATCTGCTTGAGTGTGTGAGACGGAAGACAAGAGAAGGCTTCCTCTGCCATGGTCACTGAGGCTTCATGAACCACTGCCCAGCGAGCCTGGCTCACCTTCAGTACGTGTACCAGCTCCTCTGTCAACCATACAACACTTACTACATACAGTATTCACTTCAGCTTGACTCACGAAATCGTAATGGCACGATTGCAAACAAACCATGCCACGGGCGGGGTATGGTTTGTTTGCTATATAACAAGAGGGGAATGTATGAGAGTATAGTTATACCAATGCTCTTACATGAGTGTGATGCATGAGTGATAAATGTTGCAACAAGAAGGCTGGAGGCAGTGACGATGTTATGTCTGAGGGCAATGTGTGGTGTGAATATAATGCAGAGAATTCGTAGTTTGTAAATTAGGAGATGTGGGATATCTAAAACTATTATCCAGAGGGCTGAGGAGGGGTTGTTGAGGTGGTTTGGACATGTAGAAAGGGTGGAACAAAATAGAATGACATCGCGAGTGTATTAATCTTTATTGGAGCGAAGGCAGAGTAGAGGTCGGCATAGGAAAGGGTGGAGGGAGGGGGTAAAGGAGGTTTTGTGTGAGAGGGGCTTAGATTTCCAGCAAGCATGCGTGAGTGTGTTAGATACGAGCGAATGGAGGCAAGTGTTTTTAGGACTTGACGTTCTGTTCGAGTAAGAGCAGGGCAACATTTATGAAGGGATTCAGGGAAACCAGGAGGCTGGACTTGAGTCCTGAAGATGGGAAGTTCAATGTCTGTACTCTGAAGGAGGGGTGTTAATGTTGCAGTTTTATAACTATAGTGTAAGCGCACCCCTGGCAAGACAGTGATGGAGTGAATGATGGTGAATGTTTTTCTTTTTTTGGGCCGCCCTGCCTTGGTGGGAGACGGCCTGTGTGATTAAAATAAATCATAATCATCTCAGAAGAGCCACTTACCGAGGGTGAGGGTGGGGTTGATAGGGACGCAGACAGCGCCGCGGTGCACGATAGACAGAAACACCAAGGGATAGTCCATGTGTGTTGGTGTGAGGAAGAGAACAATGTCACCCATAGTAACACCAGCAGCAGCCAGTCCTGCTGACACTCGCGGCACCAACCCGCACAGTTCACGGTATGTCCGTCGCTTGTAGGTCTCCGCATCAACCTGAAGCGTCAACAAAACATTTTATTCGGAACTTCAAGTAAATAACTGGGCTACCTTAAAACTCGAACTGTTTAAAATACTTAAAAATCTTAAGCATTCAAAACTTATAATTAGAAGCTGTTTAACTCTATCCTCATTTCTTGCTCTAAATAATCTGAGATACTAATGTAATGTACTTGTGAATGAAGTTGGTAAAGAAAAACACTGTTATTGACAAAGGTATTACAATAAAAAAATCTGTGTATTATCTTGGCTTAACTAGTATTAAATAAAGGTATTATTAAATGCAATTTTGATTGGTCAAACAAAAGTTTAAGTAGATGAAAACAGACTAATAGTTTTCAGGGTTGTAGGTCTCGTTCTCACATCAGTGAAACTGATCTTGATGAAGAACAACAGTTGTTCTACTGTGCAAGAGGATTTGCTAGATCATAACATTTTAAAAATTGTTAATTATAAGTTCGAAGAAGCTTAATTTTTTTCAATTTATTACAAATGACAATTTGTCACTTACGCAGCAAAGTAACTTAGTACTTAGAGCAAAATACATCACTAAAGTTTGAAGATAATCAGAAGAGCCATTCTGTTTTTTTTTTATATAAAACTGGCAAATTTGTATATAAAAAATTAAAACTCTACTGAACTTTCCTCTCACACATGTATCAGCGTCGCAAATTTGAAGCCTTTCTGAAAAATGTATTCCCAGGTTATTGCATGGAAAATAATACCATGATATTTTTAAAATATAATTGACAGGGTGGCAATTGTACATTATAATAATATTCAAAATTCCCCTCTATAGAAAATACACTTAACTAGCTTTAAACATTTCGAAGAGGATCACAAGTGGTGTTAGGCTATTGTGGAAGCCAATGTCACAAACTGGTCAATAAAACTGCTAAATTGGCATTTACTCGGGCAAAGACGGTTCAAATCTTCCTCTTAAGTACGATACACCAGCGTTGATGCAGATCAGAAGAGATGAAAATATCTTACAGTCACTGCAGGTATCCATAATCACTGGATATCAATAACCGTTGTCAGGAGAGTCATAACAAGCGAGTCTGACGAAAGTAACACAGAACACAAAGGAAATGTGCCAAATTAAAAAAAGCTTATTACAAAAGTAATAATATCAGCAGTAATTTTCCTTATATTTTCAGTGTGAGTTTCAGTTTTATTCTATTTTAATTTCTCTACGATCTTTTAAAAATATTTTTATTTTAATTTAAGAAACTGGCAACAAAATTCTTAGCAGATCTACCAGACATGCACAGCCGAGGGGGTTAATTACAGTGGACAAAATGGAGCAAATCCCAGTAAAAATGCAAACCTTCTTGAAAGTATGATACATGAGCATTGATGGCATGGTCTTTAAGATACACGATGCATGAGCATTGATGGTATGGTCTTTAAGATGCACGATGCATGAGCATTGATGGCATGGTCTTTAAGATACACGATGCATGAGCATTGATGGTATGGTCTTTAAGATACATTATACATGAGCATTGAGGACATGATCTTTAAAATACATGAGTAGTCATGATTTCTACAGAGCAGTCTCTGCAGCTGAGCGCCGTATTCATGAGCGCTGTATTCCTGAGCGGTCTCCTCCCGAAAGGCCTTCTACAGAGCGGTCTCCCATGGTACGGTCTCCTTCCACGCCGCGCCCGCGTGCCAGCCCGACCGGGGCCCGCCCGCGCCGACCCGTGCCCGCCCTCGCGCCCGCCCGTGCCTTCTGCAGCGCCTTCTGCAGCGGCGTCCAGATCGTCCCCACCCCCGAATTTTTTTCTGATTTTTTCGATTTTTTTTTTTAATTTCTTGTGCTCTCCAATTCCTCGGATCAAGTTTTTCTCGATATCATTAATACAAAGACTCCATCTCCTCGGATCAAGTTTTTGGATTCCCCCCTCTGGGGGTATGCATTCAAAATGGACTCCCACTTGCATCCCAAATTCTCTGCTCCAATTCCTCGGATCAAATTTTTCTCGATATCAACAATACAAAGATTTTCCCCCCACACCTCCCACCATCCACTTCTACCCCAAGTATTTTTCCTCCACTTCCTTGGATCAAGTTTTTCTCGATATCAACAATACCAAGACTCCATCTCCTTGGATCAAGTTTTTTTGGATTCCCCCCTCTGGGGGTAAGCATTCAAATGAACTCCTTCTATGGGGCATGATACTTTCTCTTACTACAGGTCTAAACAAGTGTGGCGTCATCCCACCTGTGTTTACTCGGCGGTCAGTGACGTCATGTAATACTCTCACACACACACAGGCTGAATCTTGTCGACTTCCCCCTATGTCAGTGACGTCACATGATGACCTCACACACACAGGCTGAATCTTGTCGAGCAGACAATAACTTAAAAATGCAGGATAACACTAATACACAATATTTTCATTATTTATTTATTATACAACCAATACATTTCTGGTAATACAACAAAAAAAATACAAATTCATTGAAAAAAAGATACAAATCATTGACTAAAATCAACATAGAGTAATTCTTTTTCTCTTGAAGAAATCCTGTGCATTTTGTTCTGGATCTTCTTCGTCGTCACCATCTCACTCCATACACACATTTATCACAATACCAGGTCACTCTGTGTTCCCTTATTAACTTAAAATTAACTTAAATGAAGTAACATTGGATAACACTAATATTTTCCATTTTAAAGAATTACATTTTCTTCATTACATGAATTCTCAGTATTATGCATTTCATATACAACGTAGGGAAAACATTACACATTTTCATTCTTAACCCAAATAATTCCACATTTTTTCGTTAATACCCACAACAATCCACAATTTCTTTACAAAAGATTCACTCTCCTCAAGTCTAGATATTTTTTTCTCGTTTTAACTGTTTCACCAGAAAAAGTCTGGCGAATTTTATCTGACCGATCTCAGATAACATCTCAGGTCACTCCCCACGAAGCAACCTTCTCCCCACCCTCCCAAACCCTCACTCTCCCACCAACATCTCACAATTTTCACTCATAACCCACAATTCACCACAACACTTACAACTTATAACCACTTTTCGATAAATTCACTAGTCACAATTTTACATATTACGAAGTTAATACTGGAGTATGCAGCACCTGTTTGGAACCCGCACTTGATAAAGCACGTCAAGAAACTAGAGAAAGTACAAAGGTTTGCAACAAGGTTAGTTCCAGAGCTAAGGGGAATGTCCTATGAAGAAAGATTAAGGGAAATCGGCCTGACGACACTGGAGGACAGGAGGGTCAGGGGAGACATGATAACGACATATAAAATACTGCGTGGAATAGACAAGGTGGACAAGGACAGGATGTTCCAGGGAGGGGACACAGAAACAAGAGGCCACAATTGGAAGTTGAAGACACAAATGAGTCAGAGAGATAGTAGGAAGTATTTCTTCAGTCATAGAGTTGTAAGGCAGTGGAATAGCCTAGAAAATGACGTAGTGGAGGCAGGAACCATACACAGTTTTAAGACGAGGTTTGATAAAGCTCATGGAGCGGGGAGAGAGAGGGCCTAGTAGCAACCGGTGAAGAGGCGGGGCCAGGAGCTAGGACTCGACCCCTGCAACCACAAATAGGTGAGTACACACTTTTTCTCAATATCTCTTAAGAAATATTCTCTCATCGACAACCTTTATCATCTCACTACAGAACAACCCCCAGATTACTTCGAACACTCTCATAAATCATTGAATAATCACAAAAATACCTTTGAGCATTTCCAAGCAACACTGAAACACTTCCAAAATATCATTTTGAATACCCCCAAATAAGATTTGACATCTCTAATTTATCTGCACTTACACATTTCATTAACCGAAATTACATCTCATCCACCAAACTCCTCCCTCATTCTCCAGACTTTACAACATTATCACAAAGACTAACTCAAACACTTAAACATGAGACATTTTACCAAATTTAACACAAACACACCCATACACACCACACTTTACTTTGAACAACACCAAAAAACACCATCAATTACCATTGAATACTCCAAAAACATCATTCGAACACCGGCAAATCACCACTGAATACTCCCAGAACTCCTTCATAAATACTCTTGCCACATCATTTGAACCCCTTCAAAAACACCTTGAATAGTCCAAACTCCATTTGAGTACCCCCAAAAAACCCCCTGAATATAAAAAAACCCATGAATACAGTAAAAAAACACCACCAAATCCCCAAAAAAAACTAAGTAAATCCAGGAAAACATCCTTTTCACACAAAATCCCCCGAAATTCACTATAACCAAGACGTTACCATTTCAGGTAACTACCCCCAACTAAGATATAACTGAGTGCAAAAAAAATGAAACAATCCAAAAACACGAAGACTTTCAACAGAATCACCTTTTTTTCAATATCTCTGTTCGCAACAACGCCCACAACCCCAACACCAATCCCCAGCACCCACCCAATCACCCCAACTCCAATTATACCTATTTTTCGGTTCTCTATTCGAAAAAACACCCCATCTACACCCACAACACCCCCCAAACCACATCACACACAACAACAAACCCTTTAAACATCTTTTTTTTTTGGGATTCTATTTTGGCAACAATACCCCCCAAATTCATCACTTACCAATTTTTCCTTTTCGTTCAAATTTTTCCCCTTCTTTTTTTTAAAACTTAAATGTAAAGTGCATTCCTTCTACTTACTAAAATTCTAATAAAATCCCCTCCTACCCATCTCCCTTTTTTCCCCATAAATTTATAAAATACCCACAACAACTAAATCTCACTACCCAACTCTGCGGCATGTTTCTACCCCTCCAATCTTTTCCAATGCATATAACTTTTTACTTCTATATTTCTTTTAAAATATCACACATTTCCCTTTTTTTTCAGTAAAACCCCCCTATTTCATTTTAAATTTTTAATACAACCCCTCCCCATCCCCCACTCACCCACCTTTTTTTAAATCCATACCGTTCCCAAAACACCCCTTCAGAACAAACCCAAAAATCACTTTCACATCCAAAATGCATCTCATCACCATCTCAAATCCAAAAAATTACTGAAACAAAGATATTCAAAAAATTCTTTGACCCCCAAAAACACCCCAAAAAACAACTCCTTTACTTTGAACATAAAAAAAAAACCCCATCAATTACCCTTGATTACCCCAAAAAACCAGCTTCGAACCCCCAAAACCCCCACTGAATACTCCCAAAACACCACAAAAATTAAACCAGAAACAAAGTAAACACTCCCAGCAAATTTACCCATTTTATAGAAACCCCCCAAAAAATTTTTTGCTTAAATATAATGCACTTTCCCCCTAAACTCACTAAATTTCTAATAAAATCCTCTTCAAATCCACATTTTTTAATTATTATACTCATAACCCAAAATTTTTTCTATTTCAATTTTTTCATAAAGAAAAAAGTCACCCCCCTTTTTGATCGGAAAATATTCAAACATGTCACAAATTTTTTTTAGAAAAAAATCATTTTTAAAAATATATCCAAAAAAAATTTCCAAAACTAAGATATGAAAAAAAAACCCACTTTTTAGTCACATTCCCTCGATTTCGGAAATTATGAACAAAATGTTTGGGTTATATTAAAAACTTTTAAAATTATTGGAGACATTCAAAAATATATTGGAAAAACTTCCAAAAAAACATTAGAGTACCCCCAGAATTACTTTGAAAGCTCCCTTTTTTGGGTATTTCCAAAATTTTGTTTTGGGGACTTTATCTTAAAAACGAACATTGGTGTAAAAACATGCTCCCAAAAATATAAATCCTCCCTAGGTTTTTTTTTTTCTTCCAAGGCCCCCTCACATCAGTACCTGTAAATGTTAATATTTTTTTTATTTCTTTTAAAATATAATTGGGGGGGGAATTTTGCATCTCACCCGCAAAGATATAAACCAAATAAAGTTTACATTTTTTTTTTTTACTATCCCAAACCCTTGTTTTCTCAAGTGTTACATTTTATTCTTCTCGTTAACTTAAATATTTTTCCCATTATTATCTTTTAAAAAATTAAACCTACTGTGTCCCCTTATTAAAATTAAATGAAAATAAAAAGCGTGTTGTTAATTAAAAAGAGGGAAACATTATGGTTTGCATGTTTTTTGGTGTTCTGGTAGAGAGAGAGCAGGCCCGAAATGGTAAGTAACACATTTTTACGAAGAAAGGGAAAATATGAGTTAAAATTTTTTAGTTCAAAAATATTTCTCTTTTTAAGTTATAATTACTTACTCATAATAAAAATTTTAAAATAAATTAAACCACTGATACAAGGTAAATAATTTTGCTTACCTCATGAGGGATCCCAAGCACTTCCTTCAATTCTAGAAGATAATAACTTCGAATCATCTTCTAATTCTTGACCTTGGTTAATGTTTTTCTTTTCTTCTCTGCAACCATTGTTGTACGAATGCCTTCTTCCTTAAATTTCATTATCATATCTTCGAGTATGGGTTTTTAATGTTTTATTCCAGATATAATATTTGAAGTTTCATACCTCCCAATACCTTTCAGAAAGATAACCTCTCTTATATTTTTATTGCCTTCACATTTTTTATGACCCTCTCAATGGTTTCCCTTTGAAATATCTTACTCTGTCTGCGATAGTATCTCTCTTTAAACTACACCAAATGGGAATCTCTTGATTTTTCAGTTAAATTTTGAGAAATGGTATTTTCCTCCAATGGTCCAGCAATACCAAATTGGCATTATGGCTGCTAAATAAGGAAGATTAAATTTTCTTTAAACCCGGGTTGAAGGTTCAAACTCGATAACAGTTCAGGAGTTTTACGATCTTCAACTCTGCATCTTCTCAGATTAAATAATGGTTCTCTACTCCGATACCATAAAGCATAAGGATATTTTCTTCCCCAAATAATAACTTGCACCATACCCTTTTTTAAAGCAACACAATTCGCATGAAAAAAAAATGCAGACGTCACGACAATATTTTTCATCGTAAAATTTTTCCTTCTTCAATTTTAAATATTTTTCCATCCTATTGCCCTGTCTCCATTTTCTTGAGTTGGTTAGTCGCACCCTGGTGGAAAGGTGCTAATGAATAAAAAAGGCACAATACCGTGACTGAACGATACACAAATAACCCGCACATAAAAGAGAGAAGTTTACGACGACGACGACAGTGTGATTTTTGCAATGGCCCAAAGTCGGACCGAAACGTCGTCTTTAAGCTTCTCTCTTTTATGTGCGAGTTTATTTGTGTAGGTTGCTAATGTTATGAACAACAATGATCAGAGTTATTTATACTCATCACCATTCCTGCCAGACGTAGATCTCTATTCAGTTGCCTAATAATGTTTTAGAGTGATGGCGATAAAACAAAAAAAAGTATTTTTGGAGATATTTTATTTGTCATATTTTTCAAAATGACAAAACAATTATTTCTACGACGTTTTTTAATTCCTTTGCAAAATCATGAATGATTTTAAGATATGCATGCCAATCACCCCCAGCTGAAGCACATCCAATTCCTTCTGGAAACACAACTTTTTCCATTATAAACCCATTGGGATTATTTAAACTCATGACCTTTCTTTGTATCTAAATATTTGCATGTATTGTAGTAGGTCTTATCAACTTTTCAGTTCATAAAAATACTTATGTGGGGGTCCCATCGCATACTGTGTGAACATAAATTTGGGAATCATGGGGTTATTTTTTCCATTATTTACAAATTTTATGCTCCCAAAATTTTTCAAGAGTGACTTCACTAGCTAGATTTGCTTTATGACATCCAGGTGATCTAAATAAATATGGATTGCTAAGTGGTAAAACCTGTTTTAAAGCATCAGCAAGACCTCCCTTTTTCAATTTAACAGCACAACAATTTGCTTGTTGTACTAAAAGAATTTTATCACTGCCACTAAAATCTTTTGTAATATTACCTTTCATTAACGAAAAATATTTTTCCTCATCTTTTGTTGCTTCTTTACCTGAAATTTTGATAAAATATAGTATTATATCCCAAAAATTAAGTTTGTTACTCAACAAATGAAAAAAAATATTTCTCATTAGAATTTCTAAAAATTACATTGTGGGTGAATTTACTCAATAATATCTCATTAAAAACTCACGTTCAAAATTCACGTTGACTACATTGACTGCGTTGACCAGTCAATGCAGGAGTTTACACTATACCCTGTGGAGGCTGTGACAAGATTTACGTAGGTGAAACAGCAAGAAACCTCGACACTCGCCTCAATGAACACATTTACGCATGTAGGAACGATAACTTGAACAACGCCTGTGTACAACACCGAAATTCCACCAATCATCTCATGAAATTCAGAGACGCCCAATTAGTGATTAAAGAAACTAATTTCCGCAGACGCAAGTGCCTCAAATCAGCACTGATAGCTGTTTCGAATACAATTAAACAAAACAACGGCAGCTTCACCATCTCTGAAGTCTTAGCAAGAATCCTCCTGAAAACAGTAAACCCTGCCATCACATAGTCTCTCCTGTTATACTACACAAAGCACATTACAGAGAGTGAACACTGAATCAGGCTGCCTCTTTCCAGTCTATATTTGTCCAACCTATTTTTATGTTACCCAAGTAATAGCTTTTATATCCTTTTGCTCATATACGAATTAATTGCTCTACCATATTGTAATACTACTACTACTTTTGTCACCTCTACTACTACTACTACCACTAATGAACATCTAAATGGTACCTCACTAGTATTGCACCTCACTCTGAGCCTTTATATACCCTGTGTCCATGTATTGTTTGTAATGGCTTGATAAAGCTCCTGGAGAGCGAAACGTTGCCACAATAAAATGTCACATTAGTTGCACTTGTGTCCTTTTACTTTACATATTGTCGGTAATTCTACCAATTTTATTACAAGAGAATACCTGTAAAAAGACATGCAAATGGAAAACCATAAGAACAAAACACAGTGAAAGCTTTAATTTTTTAGACTGACTCACCACAGCCACAGCATCGCCGTATTTCTCCATTATCTCCAACATGAAGATGGCATAATTTTTATGTGGTATGGGAAGGAGAGGCTTCGGTCCTTCCCACTGCAGTACTCGAGGCTTTGTCCGGCCACTACCGCCGCGCAAATGTTGCTGCTGCTGCTTCATCTGTAGAAGTGTACGGAAAAGCGATCAAAGCAACTTCTACAAACACAGCTACTTTTGTGACCCACTTGTTCTTACAGGTGTTCTTACACACTGTCTTGCCGTGCCTCCGCCGAAGAGCAGGCACCACTGAATGAATCATCTTATGAAAAAGACTCGTGTTAGGGGTTTTTGCCTGACGAACAAACTATCAACAACTAGGAGCTGTTTAATGACTGCACATATTCACTCACAAAGACACAAGGTCGTGGTGATAATTTGTTTGCCAAGATATTTAATGAAAAATTATCATAATGTAGGTCTTATGATTACGCACTCAGTAAACTTGATGTGTTTGGACACTGCACGACATGAGAAAAATATCACTTGCATCTCATAAGCCCAGACCCACATACCTCATTGCATAAATAAATGACATAGTACTAAATGTGTCATACACAGAGGTGAGGATGAACCAGCAAGACTGGGCCTTGTATTCACCTTGAGTACCTCGGACATCACATATGAAAGGCCCCATGAAGCTAGTGAGCATGTGGTTCTGAGCACTGAATATATAGTAGAGTTACAAGTGGAGAGGGTAACAGGTGTAGGATGCAAAAAGCCAAACTACAAAAAGAGGGGACTACACAGGCATGAGAAACTTCCCACAAGAGGTTTAGTGGGAAAGAGAATTGGTAGGAAAATCAATTAACGAAATGAAGGACTACGTGACAACAAAATGCAAGGAGGCATAGGAGAGGTTTGTTCCCAAGGGCAACAGAAATAATGGGAAGACCAGAACTAACCCTTGGTTCACCAAAAGGTGTGGGGAGGTAAAAACTATGTGTGCTAGAGAATGGAAAAAGTACAGAACACAAAGGACCCAGGAAAATAGAGAGATTATCGAAAAGCCAGAAACGAGTATGCACAGATAAGGAGGGGGTCCAGCGACAGTACGAAAACAACATATCATCGAAAGTCAAGTCTGACTCAGAGCTGTTGTATAGCCACATCAGGAAAAAAAAACAACAGTTCAGGACCAGGTAATCAGGTTGAAGAAGGAAGGTGGGAAGCTCACAACAAATGACCAAGATTTATGTGAGGAGCTGCTGGAAGACGGCAAATGTAGTCCCAGTTTTAAAGAATGGAGACAGGTACAAGACATTAAACTTCAGACCAGTGTCACTAACGTGTACAGTATGCAAAATCTTAGAGAAGATTATCAGGAGGAGAGTGGTGGAGCACTTAGAAAGGAACAAGCTTACAAAAGAAAACCAATATGGTTTCAGGGAAGGGAAATCCTGTCACAAAAATACTGGAGTTTTATGACAAAGTAATGGAGTATGACATGAGAGAGAGGGATGGGTAGATTGCATTTTCTTGGGCTGCAGGAAGGCCTTTGACACAGTTCCTCAAAAGAGATTAATTAGTGCAAAAGCTACAGGATCATGCATGCATAACATGAAAGGCACTGCGAGTCATGGCATGTGACGACGTGTCAAAGTGGGCACCTATGACGAGCAGTTTTCCACAGAGGTCTGTCCTAGGTACAGGCCCATATTGGAGTATGCAGCAGTTTGGAACTCACACCTGGTCAAGCACATTATGAAATTAGAGAAAGGGCAAAGGTTTGCAACAAAACTAGTCCCAGAGCTAAGGGGCATATCCTACGAGGAGAGGTTAAGAGAAAGCGACCTGACGACACTGAAGAACTGAAGAGATAGAGGGGGATATGATAACATATAAAATACTGAGAGGAATGATGGTGAAAGTTTTTCTTTTTCGGGCCACCCTGCCTTGGTGGGAATCGGCCGGTGTGATAATAAAAAAAAATTTAAAAACAATACAGTTTAACATCAAATAAAAAATAAGGAAACAGTATGGATCTCAATCAAATTAACTGACACAAACGGATTGCACCTATATGCTCGCAAGATAGTGCGGCAAAAAATACAACAATAACCTACGGCAAGAACATAGCTACAAAAAAATATGGTCATAGGGTCGTGAACTGACATATATACACATTCTTGATTCAATACATTACATATATATAAAATTTTACATATAACATGACATCTGACAAAGGCTCAATACACTAGAAAAGAAAATATACAAAGAAATTATATCAATCAAATCCTAATCTTCGCATTAATCAAAAAACCAAAACCTAACATCATAATCTTACTAGAACATCTACATACGTATCCCTAACAATACAGCTTTACATATACCAACATACGAATAAACATAAAAAGAATACAGCTTAGAATTCAAAAACTGAAGGCGCATTACTGTTACAATAAACCCATATACAAAATCTCAGACACAAATGGACTACGTCACTAAACTGTCTAGATATGTCTGTATACCATACAGACATCAAGAACTTAGCAATGGCATCAAACCGGTATCAGGGTACAGACCTTGATTATAAACTTAAAAAAGAATGGAATCATACATATATAAAGTTTTACATAATGTCTGACCCATGACAAAGGTTCAATACAATAGAAAGGGATACACACACACACACACACACACACACACACACACACACACACACACACACACACACACACACACACACATACACACACACACACACACACACACAGTAGGGACAGTGAGCGCGCTAGTCACGCCGTCGGTGCTCCAGGAATTTAAGTGTTTTTGAGGGCTACCTAAGTGTTCTGCAAGGGTTGCTAAGTGTGTCAGGGTAGTCAACAATCCTAGAAGTGTTTTTTTTAATTGCCTGAGCCACATAAGTGTGGGGAGAGCCACAATTTTGAAAGTGATCTGGAAAATAAAAGCGTTGTGGCGCAGGCTAGTGTGTAAGGCGGCGTTGCCAAGTGTCACCCAAGAAAGGTAATAAAGTGAAACAATCGTGTGACCAGTGAAAGAAATACAGTGAATAGGGTACATTATTAACGAGAAGAAATTGAGGTGGATCTACGCCAGGACGTCACATCGACCTGGACAATCTACAGTGCTACAGCTGCACTACAAGTACTGTATCACCTATGAGTGGTTGTTTGGGTGTGGGGTCCAGGTTCCAATTAACCGCCAAGCTGAATGTGAATGGTCTAACTCTCATAGCACGATAAAGAATAGGCACTCAAGTATTCAATAAGGTTTAGCAAATGGTAATCCATTGAACAAGGCGATTAACTCACTATAAGCAGGTCGAGCATAGGCAACACTGTAAGGGTTGGAGTCAGGTCACAAGAGGTTGTGGACACAAACGACAACTGAGAATCTACATTACACTCCAAGCACAAGCCACCTACTTTTCAGACACATAATAAACCCACACATAATTCGACACATAATTACACAACACACACACACACACACACACACACACACACACACACACACACACACACACACACACACACACACACACACACACACAAACACACACACACACACACACACACTCAGGGGAGACATGATAACGACATATAAAATACTGCGCAGAATAGACACGGTGGACAAAGACAGGATGTTCCAGAGATGGGACACATACACAAGAGGTCACAATTGGAAGTTGAAGACTCAGATGAATCAAAGGGATGTTAGGAAGTATTTCTTCAGTCATAGAGTAGTCAAGTCGTGGAATAGTCTAGAAAGTGAAGTAGTGGAGGCGGGAACCATACATAGTTTTAAGGCGAGGTATGATAAAGCTCATGGAGCAGGGAGAGAGAGGACCTAGTAGCAATCAGTGAAGAGGCGGGGCCAGGAGCTATGACTCGACCCCTGCAACCACAAATAGGTGAGTACAAATAGGTGAGTACATACACACACACACACACACACACACACACACACACATATCATGTGGGAGTTCGATACGTGGATTAGGGTAGAAATACTCACGTAGGCTGTTTTACGTATTATTGTAGTTAAGTGGACAGAGCCCGCAGCCGTACCTATCTCCTTGGCTACACTCGTAAAACTGACTAGCCGTCTGGCCAGTTCCCCGTAGTGGGTGTTTTGAAATAGTGTCAGCTCAGCACAATATGAAGACCGTGACTCAAGACGGTTGGTCGTTGAGTCAACGGACGGTTACGGTAACTGGTTACTAGACGGTAACGGTTTTCTACTACTGAGAGCTCGGGGGACGCTAACGGATGTCGTCCCCCACATACAACTAATCAAACTAGAGAGGGGAGGTAACGGCTTGGGGTGATTCTATCCCAAAGTCAAAGAACAACATGAAAATTTTAGATACATAAGTAGAAATTGGAATGAAGCTTAAAGTAAAATGAAAATGTAAGCATACAAGGTATACTATAGTCAACTTTAAAAAATTTAAAAAATGAAAAAAACGAAATCAACATTTAGTTACAAGTGATAAAAACAAAAAATTTTTATCGATCGTTTTGATTCGTGTGATCTACGGATTCTGAGGAAGGAATTTTATACAAAAAAAAAAGAGTGGTTTTAAAAAAAGGGAGATTCGGTGCCCCGCAAATCTAGACGGGTTAAATCTCGAATGCGGAGGGGAACATGAAAAACAAAAAAAAATTTTTTTGGGAAAACTGTAAGTTATACTGTAATTATTTTTATCTATACAGGTTATTTAATTTAAAAAACCCAATCTGCTAGGGTAAGATTGGGTTTTCAGAAAAAGGGGTTTTTCCCCTCTCTGGGGGATCAAACTCTTGGGGCATTTGGCTAACCCCATGCCCGCATTTGAGGCAAATCTGAATTGGAAGTTACAAATGATACTTTGAGGATTTCTCAATACCTGTCTTGTAGGGGGGAATAACGACATTCATTGACACGATAATCAAAAAGAAGTACAGATCAGGGGGTTTGTCAAGTCTGACATTAGTCTGGGTTGGAACACTTACAAAAAACTAACTTAATACCCAAATGCGATTCTTTAACTGACCATACAACTCTCAACCTTATACTTATTCCCAGTGAAATGTTCAACTACCGATAAGGACCAACAAATTTTTTGATCAAGCTTTGGCATTGCAGACGTTTTTTTTAAAATTGTCCAAAA